AGAAAGAAAAACAAGGGCATGTCAAGGCCTAAACCAAAGATGTATGTAAAATAATCTGAGCAGCTTGATTAGCCAGAGTGAGATTAGAAGTTGCATTTTTGGCCTTTAAACATATGGTGTAGCAATATTATATAGCACCTCTCCAGAATCTCTACAACAGCGTGCCTGTGTAGGCAGCCTCATCGTCCCCATGTGTACAAAGGAAAAGCTATACTCTCTTCTGCTATATTTGTGTATAACTAAGAGAATGGGAAAGTTGGACAAACTTGACTTTCCACAACAGAACTCACCCTGCTTCGTCAAAGGAACAAAAGGATGCTAAATTAAAACTAATGTCTTAAGCTACGGTAGAAACTAAGTAGCGATGAATCACGATGAAAAGCAATCTCAGTGCCTGGTATTGCGCCGGGCCGATCTTCCCGTTGTTCCCGTCACACTGTCTCCTTGCTGCTAAAAGATTGCATTAAATAGCAATATTGCACTGTCCATCCCAGATCTCTTTAAATACTCCTGTTTGGCACTTGATGAAAAGCTTACAAATACCACTCAATTCACTGTCAGTTCTTTTTAATACCATAAAACCAGGAAGCTTTTGGAAGGCTATTATTATCATGGACATTATAACGTGTTACCAGGGCTTGAATTCGGACCGAGACTAGAAATGCAATACGATAGTTTCTTACGTTAAAATAAACTATAGATATAGATAGTGTAGAGAGGAAAGAACTGAACAGAAAAATCAAAGCATGTGCAATCCAATATTTCCTATCAAATGCTGGTTAAAATAGAAGGACATAGTGTAACTTGAAAACTAGTTTTGCATTAATTATACACATAGTTAATCCTCCTTTTTTCACCCTCTTAATGACCAGGGACTAGCAACCAGAACTTCCTTTGGCTTCAAATTTTAAGCAAAGAATGAAGGGATCTGTGAACCAATAGTTGGCAGACCCTGTTAACAAGGAAATAATGTTTTTCACCAAAAGTCTCACCTACAGGTTTTGACTGTTTTGTTTTGTTTTTTCTAATTCATGTTTAGTGAAGAACAAATTGGACTGACATGCTAAGAACTGTTCCAATCACCCACATATACTTGGGATGTTTAATTAAGTGGCATGCTTAATATGCAAACCCAACATATTCAGAAATGTTCCAGTTGAACTAGACTGTAAAAAGACGGTGGGCTTTTTATGGCAAATAAAAATTGGGGGCCATTTTCATAACCCTTACAATAACTTTAGATTCATTTGAAGTGAGCCATGATTTTCTCTTAATAACTTTTTGACCCCTTCAATGAGGTACATTCAGAAGTTTAATAGAAACACATTTGTAATTTTTTTTTTAATCTAAAGTCATCCTCTACCTGTTCTAGGATACTATCTAAATACTTTCAACTTTTTACCATTTTGACTCATTTCAGGACAGTTGCAGAAGTTTTCCTCTCTCATTTCAGAATACATAGCTTTATGTCCATTTACCCATTATTGCTTAGCATACAGAGCAAACACATCAGGTTTGTGCTTAATTCATCTAACGAGAAAGTAAATGAGAGCAAATGAAACCCTTAGTGGGTGCATCGCTGTGGGGAATTTTGGATCGGTCAGTATAGTAACACCAAGAGAGAAAAAGAAATCTCCCAACCAAAGTTGACTTCATTCCCTTTCTTCACTTTTGAAGATTTTAATTGATAGACTATAGTTTTCACTAGGACACCCATTCAGAACCAGATATTTCTTCCATTTGGTGACTGCATAATGTTATCACACCTTCTTAGGACCTACCAGACTTTTATTTGCCCTCTTAGCAGAAAATAGCTGAGGTAAGCTCCTCTCTCACATATCTAAGCTGTGGTCCTCATTAAAATATTTGCATGAACAAAATGATATACCTAGTGGAAAATATTTTCTTAAGCTTAACGCTGGGCTTACTAAGGTATATATGTTTCAGAAAGTTCTCCATATATTTTCAAATAGATACTGGTTTACCTGTTTAAATATTGATAAAGTAGCATGATCTGCAAAAAAAATTCTTATATACTCAGTTAATCTCTACCCATCTTTGTCAGGGAATTCTTACAGTAGTTTGGAATAGCAAAGAAATGCATTGAGATTGTAAAAAAAAAAGTGATAAAGGAGGAGCAAAGGAAATGTGTCACAAAATGAGTTGCTTAAAATGGAGAAGTTTTGCATTTTGAAAATTACTAATTTCTAAACAAGGCAAGTGGAGCTGCCTACATATAACTGCTATTTGTTGCAGGAAAATCTAGTTTTCTATTTATTAAAATAATTTAAATGTTTTAGTAGCCTCAAACATCCCACTTGGGATGAGCTTATGTATGTGGATTTAGAGATGAGAGTATTGGCTTCTTTGTAGTGTTAGAAATCCCTCAGAAGTGCATCTGTGTTTTCCTACATATAGAATTACTTCTGATTTGTGTTTTCGTACATAGCTTATGGAAGTAGAGTGTTCAATTATGTGTGAGTTGGCTTGTCTTTCTACCTATCTTTGTGCACGTGTATTGTCAGTTTTAGATGACAGTTTTCTAGAAGGAAAGACAGAATCTGCTTAAAACTTGAAGAACACCACATATATGTGATACATATGATTTGAGGAGGAGGAGGATGTGATGGTTATTTATGTCATAAAGTTTTCATTATAAGGGAAATACAAACCATCTTAAAAGGAAAAACTAACCTAACCATAGTAAAAGGGCTAATGGACTCGAAAGTGCAAAGGTACAATTCTTGTTTAAATTTGCTCATACACCAAATCAGTCACAGTTGCCACAAGCTATAGAGTCATATAATTTGTATAAGCTGAAATCTATCTGTAAACTTGCAGTGTATTATGATAGGCGTCCATTCATAAGACTTCTTAAAAAGTACATTTGTTAGGATTCACGTATAACAAGTACTTGTAGATATAAAGATATAAAGATGATTAAGTGAAAGCTCTCCATACGCTAAAAAGTAATTAGGGGCTTAGATGAGAGAAGTGTGGTAAGTTTTTATCACATGATAGACTTTACAGAAGGTATATATCTCTGTGTGTATGTTTATCTCTGTGTATGTATTTGGCTGTCTACATATATGTAATATCTGTCTAGATATATGTATATATATGTAGTATCTGCTGTCTTTCTGTGTATCTGGATTGGCAGCCTTTTTAAAGGTTAACATTTCTGCCTTACCTTGTCTCTTCATTTTGGTTTGATTCTCCATTATTTGGAGATAGTATGAGGTAAATAATTGGTGGAAGAAAAGGCCTTTTTGTGACAGATTAATTTTAAAACTGCTTATTCTAACCATTCTATTTGTTTATCAAGGCCCAAATAATTAAGTCAAACTAACCACTCAATTTTTAAACAACTAAACACTTGGGCGACGCGTTGGGTCAGTTTTACAGCATGCACTTCAGAATGCCTCTTATTATGATAAATTCAAATACAGTAACCTCTAGGTATGTCAGTATGTTCTAAAAAAAAAAAAAAATCCAGAAATATTTGTGAAAATCACTGAGGTTTTTTTCTGTCATAATGTGATTCTTTCCTTCGTGTTATAAAACTAGATCTAATCAATCCATATTTTAAGATATCAGCATGGGATAGAAAAGACAAAGTTATTTCTTAGTATTAATTATAAGTTTTGTTTCTTTGAGGCGGGGGAGATTTATCCACCCTGGATTTCCTTTATTTTGTTCTCTCCGCACTTCTTTTTCATTATCAGTCTCTCCTTTTTTCATAACATGAAGTGCCAGAGAAGTTTTTAACTGTGTGAAAATGACTCTTAAAATAGTGAACCATGTCTACTAATCTTTTTTCTGTTTTCCAAGACACAGTGTTGTCCCATGGATTTGTTCTGAAGCAGTATTTATATAAACACTTGCTTTTATTTACAGTAAAAGTGGATTGTTTTTTCTAGGAAAGAAAGTGATTGCTTTTTCAAAGGTTGCAAACTTGGCAAGTTGACACATTGTTTGATTACATGCTGGTTGGTATGAGCAGTGCCTTCAACCCAGCACAGCTGGGGCCGGGTGAGCCTCTACCTCAGGCTCTCCTGCCTACAAGGTTTTCCTGCTCACCTCTCCTGCCATTCTCTTTTCTAGGACTTTTTTCCCCTGGCTCTTTCTCACCCTGTATTTCTCTTGCCTCTCCTTTCTCCTCTCTTTCTTTCTCTCCCACCTTATTTGCTTTTCCTTTTGACTCTGTAATTCTCAGAACCTTGAAAAGAAAGAAAATTTTAAGTAAAATACTTTTTTTTTTCAGTTTAATGAATAACCTTTGAAATAATCTTTCAATTTCCAGACTCTCTGGTATAAGTCTAGTTAGCCTGAAATAAGAAAATGTTTAAAGAAGAATACTTGACTTATGATTCCTTCTTTGAGAGGACCTGTCTAGGTGGCTATTTTCTGGATATGCATTTGTATATATATCCTATGTGAGTTGCTACATGTACTCATGAAGTAATATGTATTACTATATGCATTTTTCTGGTACTTCTGTATTTTATATCTATCTGTAAAATTTGAAGTGTGATGATGTTTTATGCGTAAGTACTTTCTATATACATTCTCTTTACTAACTTTGATAACAGATACTTATATGCATATTTTTCTAATTGTTTAATCTTTATAGTTTATTTTAATCAGACCTTTAAACCACTTCAAAAGGCTTTACATTGATAGCACCGTGACCCTGGTGAGGCGGTCGATGATCGAGAACACTGACATGCAGTTGTTTAGTCAAAGCTCCACCACCTTAGCATACTACGTAGGAGGTAGGGGACATAAAGGTAGAGTCCGATGAAATCTGATGCCTCTGGAAGGCCAGTGTGTAAGTACGGTGGTATTCTAATATTCTTACCAAATAGTTAAGTAATATGACAAATAGCATGTACAAGTTGGCCGTCGTCATTTCTGAAGAATTTGTGCGAGAGGCCCTATAGCTGTGAGGTAGGCGAGCCGACGTTTGGTCATGACCGCCCCCGTCTCTTTCTGTCCAG